TTCCGGACTGTGCGGAGGAACCTGAAAATGGAATAATCAGATGTGAAGCTTTTCTCCCTAATGGGTGGACTGCCAAGTGGCTAAGTAACAGGAAGCCTGGCCTTTTCAAAGGAAACAAGCTTAGCTTTTGTCAGGCTTTTTATTGAAATCTCATTGTGTCTCAGGAAAGCTTTTATTTTGATGAACTGGCACTCACCAAAACACTTCATCACCTGTACACACCATCTCACAGGCAATACATTTGCATTTAATTCCAACTAAAATATTTCAGGTAAATGAATACGAAATGCAGATCTATTCTTCCAAAGTGGAATCTGCCTGCTTCTAGTTCCCATACTGTTAGAAGTGGGTAGGCTGCTTCTGACTGGTACATGGACATTTTTTGACCAGCCAAGCACTTCTTCTTAAGACTATGCAGTATCTATTCAGGCCATGTTATGTCCAGGAATTTCTGCTACTGTTTTCTGGGAACTTCTTTTGGTTCCCAAGAAAACTAAGTTTGGAAAATTGTGTTTTTGATAAGTATCGAAGTTTGTTATTCCTCTAAGCAAAGGACAGTAAGTTTCAGTGTTGACGTCAAGAGCGGACAACCAGACACATTTATATTTGGTAGGTTAGGTACCTCCTTTACACAGTAGTAAAAGGGCTGTTTATATCAGCTTTTCTGCTTAGTATTTAAGTTGTGGCACATGCGATTGATGAAGCTTGTGTAGAACTAACCAGAGTACCCATAGGAGGACAAGGTTGTCAGTGTTGGGTTTCTCATCCTCTGTGCCTGCTAGATCCATTATCTGTCTGTTCAAAGTCATGCAGTGATGATGGGGCATTTGTTCCCCTTGAAACTTCTGAAACTGTTGTAAGGAATGTAAGGAATCTCCTGATTGGGCTATGGAGTAAACTTACATGGGAATGCATGCGAAAGAAAAGAAACCCAACCAAAAAAAAAAGTTAGAAATGGAACATAAGGAATGGTTCCACTGAGAGAAGGCAAAGATAGGTTTTAGTGGGAGGACATCGCTTTTTTTTTTTTTTTTTTCTGTAATGATGCAAGCATTAGACCTAGTGATATATAAGTGAAAGTATTAAGTAGTGTGGGTGGCATGGATTGCCTTCTGCTGTGAAAAGTCCCCTTAGGCTGCTCCCCCCTGGAGTTTTCCTGAAGTGAAGGTGACAAAAGCTCTGCAGAGCAGCCTGGGCCCGGCTGGCTGGGGCATCATGCGCTAATGCCTGAGTATTTTGCAGCAAATGTCTTTTATCCAGCTATTTTCTCTTATTTACACTTAGTTTGGAAGATTTCTTAAGAGGTTGATCACAATGCCACCTTTTAAAATTTACCTTATCAGCAGCTTTAGTAGGAAAATTAGATATAAATAACTCTTAAACATATTTATTACTTGTTTCATTCAAGAGTAGAGAAAGCTAAAGAGGATGCTGCAAGTGCTACTTATTAAAAGTCAGACATAATAAACTAGACTGAGACTTACCTAACACCATATTTGACTAAACCTGTTGGTATATTTCTTGTATTTTCAACACCAAGATGTGTTTCATATAATTTTAAAACATGAATTCAGTGAGTGTGAGCACACATGCTGGTTGGTACCAGCTACAAGCTATCGATAAAATGGGTTATCTCTGTTTTATTTGTATAAACACACACAAATTCCCATCTGCCATGCCAAACATCCTGGTACAGGTAAACACCAGGAAAAATTACTGATACCAGAGAAAAGTGAAAATTGAACAAATACTATTATCCATCTTGTGGTCCGTATCATATATACTCCATTTCATAGGTACTTCCTGGCTAAGTGCAATCATTTAAGTCCACTTTAATGCCATCATAGCGATTACAAAAAGTCCTTGAATTGGAAAGCAAGACTACACAGGGCCACACACCAGTATGGTTTCATCTTATTTTATATTGTTGTTGCTTTCAGAATCTGTCACGGTGATACACGGTGATAAAAGGTCAATGTATATTAGATTATAATTTCTGCAATATCAATAAAATGTATGCTATTCCTTTCCTCCTCCTCCTCCTCTTTCTTTTTCTGGAAATCAAAAGTCAGTAAGTCAGTACTTTAATACTCTATTAATACAGTTCCTTGTTCTTTGTAGGGAGTGGTTGAAATCTTTGAAAAGGGCTTAGCAATTAACCTCTTAGGTGTTGTGTTCCCCTGCAACATAGGAAAAACCTAACTACTAAGAAGTACCTTTTAAAGGGATGGATGTTGTTTTATCAGCTTGCTATCCCATTAAGAGTTGATAGATAAAATTGTCATCGATGACGTTCATTTTTGGGGAGTGCTGTTGGTGCACCAGCAGAGTTAGGCTCTGTAACATTAAAAACATCAGCAGCAGATCCGGCCTTTCTACCATTTTTTTTTTAAATGCTCAATTAAAAGAAAACAAGGGAGAAGATAGTAATAGACTTTTCAATGATAGGTGTAACAATCTAGGTTGTATCTCTTCCTGCAGTGTCATACATATGTGGTATCTTAATCTGAAATAAACTTTTTTTTTTTCTGAACTTACAAATAGTGACTACAATATGTTAGACCAAAAAAAGTCACTCTATTTCTACTGCGAACTGAGCTTTCCTGCCACTTCTAGTCTTACCCACAAAATTCATATCATTGGAAATCTTTTATCCTGCCTTCAGGCACTGACTCACTATTTCTTCTGCTGAGTGGCAGGTCGCTGTGTGTGGTGCAGCTGGAAAGTTTCAGCACATTAGCTACTAATAGGCGGCACTTGAACTCCTTTTTTTTGTGTGTTTACAAATCCTGAATTTGTAAGCAAAACAATGAGGTTCTATAATGTGTTCTTTAAAGAATTCTAATGAAATCAGGTACTTCTTACTCCATTTCTCCCCAGAAGAGACAAAATCATGTAAGGATCCGTCCCCAGCGCTGCTAACACCATCACTCGGAGGTGCTCAGCTCCCCACATGGGCATGGCTTGGAAACCAGCAGCACCCGGACAAACCATGTCCATTTTCCACAGAAACACAATGGCTGAAAAAAAAAAAGGTTAAGATGGAATGTGTTTTGACAGCCTCTTTTCTTGTGTTTCAGTTGCACAAGGTGTCTGGAGGAAACAGAAAGGGCAATGAAAAATGTCTTTCTTCTAAATGGTTTCTTCTAAATCAGCAACACTCAAAAACGAGAAGAACAAAGACAGCTAAGATGTAGCCTGCATTTTTTTTTCCTTTAAGAGATATCAAAACCAAGAATACAGCTGTTTTTGCCCTCTTTTTATCTCACAGTAGATCAATAACTGAACTGAACACAGGAAAAAATTATCATGTGCAGTGGGGGTGGTTATACAAAAAGGTTGCAACAAGAAGAAGGTCACTATTATCACGCTGCCATTATTCCTTTGATCCCATATGTTAAGGGGAAAAATACTTTGTTGTGATGATGTTCTTAACAAGCAAGCAGTTGCATTTACAATTTTGGCATCTGCAAACATAAAAATAGCCTGGAGAAATCGTAAGAAAGGGCCCTCTTTCTCTCTGCCTCACTTTTGTCACTGTTTATACAGTCCCTGCAAAGGGAACGTCAACAAATCACGGTACGTGCCTAAAAGGGGCAGCCAACAATAATAGGAATAGAATTTAGTATTCCAGCAGAATTCAATTTATTAAAGGTAAGTGGCTTGATTTCCTAGTTGCAGAAGGAATTAGATGTTTTTAGGCTGCATATTATTTTCTGGGAGGCCTCTAACACGGGTTAGATGTGAGAGATCCCTCTCTAGAAGCGACTGCTTCGCTCAATTCTAGAAGAGGACTCAAAGCTGGCAGTTCAGACACAGACTTCAGCCCTGCGGTTATCTAAACTTAGGTGAAATGAGTATCAACCACCCTGCATGTTACTGGATTTGTTTAATCGATTTAAAAGCAAGACAAGCCTCAGCCCTTCAGTTGCATATTACCCATCCCTGTAGTTTATTTCAGTCTTCCAACTGCTGCCTCTGCGAGAAAGAGCATAAATTTTCCTGTACAAAAGGGTGGTCTCCAGTCTCTCCTTGGTCTGGGGTTTGTTTCATTACCTGATCACAGACCCGTGGGTTCAGGTACGCTCAGATGGTCATGCCAGAAGCGTCAGGAGCAGGTATGTAAATATGCCCTTAAGCAAGAGCTACCATGACCCTGAGCATAGACTCTGTGGAGCTTGGACGATAGTCATTATACCTTCATCATAATTTTATATAAGAATATGTCTGAAATCAGTTTTACCTATTGGTAGAATGTTAGATTGGCTTATGTCTGAAAAACATAACCCCTAAACTGTAATAAAACAAACTCAATTACAACGCACACTTAATCAAACAGGAAAAAGAGAAGAAAATAGCGTAACGTGATAAAAAGGAGACAGGCAAAAGCAAAGTCTGTTTAATACAATTTATTGCAAAAAAATATTGCAAGCATGTGCAAAAAAATAATTCTCCTGTCATATGTAGTAATAGTTAACTTATTCTTTCACATGATGCTTCCTTGCATTTTTCTTTAGTAAGTCACCAACTGTTTTTGATAAGGAAAGGAATTCATTAGTGCTGGGGTAATAAACAACTACGCAGTAAAGATATCTGTGGAAAAGAGGACTGGCAAACCTGGGACAATAAAAGGGAAATGTTTGGGAAGTAGATAATCTGAGCTCTCATTCGACAGATGGCAATGTTAGGAAATCGCGAGATAAAAATAGTCCTTAACTATCAGGCTGCTGCAGGCTCAGAGTTAGCACTGAAATGGATTTACAGTATGAACAGTTGGAACAACCACACAGTCTTGTCTACCAGGCAGTATAAGAAAATAAGGAAGGCATGAGGGGGAAATATATATATATATATATATAGCTATATATATATATATAGCTAAGACAAGCAAAGTATTTCTGGAAACTAGTAAGATTTGATAGGTAGTAAATGCTATAGTGCCAGTTGAATGCTCATTTTTAGTGAGCAATGAGTGTCAAGGAGAAGACGACAGATTTCAGTCATGTCCTTATTGACTACAGTTCACCTTTAAACTCCAGCAGCAAATTCTTTACTGTCAAAGCAGACTCTGCATTTCTGGGATGGGCTGCAGACCAGATGGCTCTGAAATTGCTCTGATAAGAGCCTAGACTTCCTCCAACTTAAGAAGCACCTTTGCTGCTACCTGCTATTATGTCCTCTGGTCCATAGAGCTCACTAGAGAGTCTGCACTTCTACCTTTGTATTCCAGCACTCTGGAAAATGATGAACAGAAATAAATTCTAATGATTTTGTATGAAACATTTAGGGTGTTACTTGTTTTCACAGGATCTGTTCCTGCTCTGGATGGTCATGGAAAACAACTTGTTGCTGTCTTATGCAGTATTTTTTCACTTCACGTCTCTGATACTGAATTCTCACATGCTCTCACAATTCACATTGCAGAGTGAACACAACCAGTTCAATACTCCAGTATTGTGAGCACCTCTCTAAGTGCAAACAGTTAATGTTTTGCTTTTCATATGCTTCTAGCTGTATACATACTGAAAACATTTCATTTTTAAAAGATGGTATATTGGCTTGTGTTTTTTCTTCTTTACCTTTTCAACTTAACCAGCTTTTAAAATGCCAACAGATTGTCTGGCTGAACTGCAGTATAAAACTATTCTAGTAATACCTTTTTTACAGTAGATTGATTTCTATTTGTGGACTAAAGGGGAAAATTAAATCCAGTTATATGGCAGGTTTCTTTTTCGTTTCACATAGGATGAAATTTTTAAAACTTTTTTTTTTCCATTTATTTTTCAGCCTTGCTACTAAATCTTGGTGCGTGATCTAGATCTGCTAATAGAATTGGGTTGGGTTTCTGTATCATCCAAATACTACTATTTGGATACGTATTGGATGAATACATATTGGATGAATACATATGTATTTCCATCTATCTCCATATTTCCTCTTAACAGTTCATGAAACATTCACCCTTCTGCTTTGTAAAGTAAAATGCTATCCCCAAATCACAAGAGAAACAAGATGTACTGTGAGCAACACGTTCATTTACTGAAGGTCTTGTAGGTGTTGGCAGAATTAAATCCAGATCTCTTGAACTCCAACCTAGGCTTCCATTGCCCAGACTTGGTATTTTCATACAAAACATGACAGATGAATTAGGGCAGAGAAAATTTCCCTCCCATGAATGCTGAATGGAGACTCATGCTGAATGGAAATGTAAAAACATTCAGCACATATTACTGTTTATCCCTTTTTCTTGAATGTTGCCCTGAGCTGGTAACACAACCAGCTCAATCCAGTGTTTCATGTGAATAACTGCACAAGACACAGTTTTTTTTTCTGATGTTGCTCACCCTCATGCTGCCTCTCAGATCTAAATAGTTATGAATAAAACCAGCAGCTGGCTCTGGCTTCTCATGTGCTTCCTCGCTACTAAAGACTCAATCTGTCAAAACACACTTGTTAAACCCGATGCATGGAAAGGGTCCTCTTGACTGCAGCAGGACGGCCCATGGGCTGTAGAGCTGTGCTCTAACATCCTCCCTCTGGTCAGGCAGAGGAAAAGGGCGAAAGTCACTTGCGCATCATTGCATAGGCACTATCCGATCTTCTTTCATAGAACAAACTTGATAGTGATAGAATTTCTAAGCCAGAAAGAAAAACAGCAATGTCGTCGTCTTTCACTTCCAGTTTTAAGAAAAAGCTTTGAAAGCTATTGGGAAACATCTACAGACTCTTCATTTGTAGCTACAATAAAATTACCTTTGTTTTTAAAGCTAGGCAACGCCACAGGGGAATTTCACACACTTGATTTTTATAGCTCTTGAAAACACTTATATCTCCCCCACCATTGCTGAGTGGATGAATCATGTCACAAGCAGCATATACTTAAACCAGCTTAGACATATTTAACATAATGTCCTGGCATCACGCTACTGTTGTTGTTATTATTATGCCTATTTCCTGGTTTTAAATGCCGTGTTCCCCTTAGCTACAGTAACTTCCAAAACACTCTTGCTCTGAAATACCAGCTGCTCCAAAATACCAAATCTAGCAGCTCCCTGTGCCCCCATGTGCAGCCAAGCAGCAAGGCTGAACATCTATGCCCAAACAGGCACACACACAAACACACATGTGCAACATGCAGGTGTACACACAGTTGGCCACACAGCTCAGGACAGGATGAAAATGCAACACTAACAAGCGCCAACATCCCATCTCATCCCATTCCCCTGTATACACACAGACATACACACACATCCCCCGCCCGTGGAAATAGTTAGAAATTGAGTTTTTACTGAAAAAACAGGACAGACAGTGCTTACCAGACACAGGGGATGGCCAGACAAGAGCACTGACCAACCTGTTTACACACAGGCAACCCCTTTTATCCCTCCCTGAACCACCTTGATCCCTCCCTTACCCACCTGAGGTTTCTCCCCTAACCGTCCTACAGTAAGTCTTGTACCGTCTCAGATTTCTCCTCCACGTGCTCCTGACGTGCCCCCTCAGGCCGGAAGCACTGCCCTCCCATGCTGTAAGCTGCTTTGGGGTTTTCCTGGGCTCATGGTGATGGATGACCCACCAGCCCAAGTGCTGGCCGCCCTCCTGCGCAGCCCAGGCAGAGCTCCAGGTCCGAGTGGGTGATTTTTTACATATTACTTCATCCTTTAATCTTCCTAAATACACTACACACCCTTCTTAAATATAGCATCCCATGCTAAGCATATCTGACTTAGGTGTACAAAATAACATGGCTTTTTTTCTCCTCCACTTTCAAATAAATAAGGACAGACTGACTGATCAAGAAATACCCTTCACCAGAGACTTATGAACAAGCCCTGCCCAAGGAGATTTTTCCCAACTAAAAGGTGAATCCAGGAGACCAAGAGAAATTACTCAGCAGCTGAGTGAGGAGAATCACAGGCCGAATGGGATGGTAGGAGGGACATGAATGTCTAGCACAGGCAGCAGCTGCTGGCATGGGCAGGATGGCAAAGCAACAAGCCTAAGGATACACTTCTTCATGGGTTATCTTGGACTCATATGAGGAGTCATATGAGCAGAAGGCAAAGGGAGATACTGAAATCCCTGCTGCTTTCAATTTACCAGGAAATTGCATCTTTACTGCTATTGAGAGCATTTGGACATGTTGGAAAAGACAGTAGCTTTTATCAGGCAGGCTACTATGTTTGCCATGATTATTTTCCCTTATCAAGGAACCTACAGTAAATGAGGCACAGTCGGTGAACACACAGGTTTTACGAAGATTGTGCCCCTGAACAGTTGTTCATGACTGGGTCCATAATACACTGATTGATTTTGATTCTGTAAATGGTTCTATACAAGTTAGATGTAGCCGATTAACTGAAATGAAAGAAAAAAGTGAAACGGGCTGGACAGGTACCCATGAACAGCACAAAACGAGCCCTTGTTACAGCTGTGTGGGAGCACAGCAGGAGGGCAGACATACAACCTTAAGCTGCGAAGGACGAAAAGAGAGGGCAGAGCGAGAGCTCCACGGCACTGAGACCCGAAGGAGGGACTGAAAAGCCTACTGGCGAGGCAGAGCCTGTGAGCTGAGGCTAAGTCAATGCCTTTGAGTCGTGGGATGGGGCCTTTGTAGAACGGAAATACCTGAGGGAACGCGGCCCCCTTTCAAAGCATTGCCGCTCGAACGTCGTAAAGTCTGGCTGCCACAAAGGGCTGGGAAGTGTCTAGCTTCACAACTGCCCAGCAGAGGCTTTCAGCACACACACAAACCCCCGGAGCCACAGAGAACCCGGAGAGGAAGAAAGATTAGGAAGGACTGAGAGTGGCAAGGTTGATGTTAGATAGAAGCGCTTGAATTGTTAAAGGAATCAGAGCAAAAATGTGCAAAGTTCAGGCTGTCAGGACCCTCACGGCCTGGGCGGCTGTGGCGGGTGGGTGTTGCGCAGGCCGCGCGTGGCTCAGGCCTCTGTGAGGGGCCACTTGCTCTTGGCTGCTCTGCTGTCCCAGGGGTGTATAAAAGTGTAAGAGTCTATACCAGAATAAGGAACAAACTTGCTTTGATTACCTTAAACCTGGCCCTTCTTGAAATCTGGTTTTGAATCAGTCATTCCTCTTACAAGGGAAACAGACAGGACTGTATAGCTTAACAATTACCCCCTTTTTTTCTTGATTCGAAGAAGCTGTCCAGAGAAAGCTGAGAAGAGTAATCATTTTACAGTAGATGAGTCCCAAAAAAGATTTTTTTTTTCGGCTTTAACATAAATGAATGATGCAGAGATGACTGCTTTAGCTTCATGGACCAAGTTTTACCAGAATCACACAGCAAATCAAGCCAATCCAACACACAGGCTTCAGTAACTGTGGTGGTAAAACAGATGACCCAAGTCATTCACCATCCTAGCTGTTCAACATGTTGAAAGCAAAGACTACTCAGAAACCTACTCAGGCAAAAGTATTCATAAGTCCCTCATCATCAAATCACAAATCACGTGGTGCAATATTTTCTTATTCCTAACTGCCCCTGCTTACTCCGAGAACAAGTGGCTGAACAGTTTCTGTAATATTACTCCCTCCTCATAACCTTTCAGAGGGAGCTTTGAGGCCCACGCAGGGCTTGGTCCCAGGCACCCTCACTCTGATTAGCAGCAAGGCCCTCTCCCTTGCGGGGTACTTTGTAGAGGAAGGAGTCCCATTTTCACTCCCAAAGGGAGCTTAGGCTTTGCTAGATCATTAAAGCGAATGGAAAAGGCTCACAAACAGGAGAGAACGCTTGCAGAGGAAGTACAGCTGGCACAAGGCCAGCACTGCCGACAACTTCTGAGATGGGTTCAGGACAGTCTAGAGCAAAAGAGTAAAGATCTCGCGAGCTTATGAGGAATACTTAGATCCAGCTTGGGGAAGCCCCAGTTGCGGCCAACCAAAGCAGCGGTTCTGGACTCACAGCCTATTCCTGGCCGTTTTCCCAAGGGCAGAGAGGCAGGAGAGTGCCCAGGCCCTGCGCTTTTTGCTCTGTCCCAAAAGGTATTCCCTGTCATTTGGTGAGCGCGCATCCACGTCATGTCCAAGGAGCATTCAGACGCTGCTGGCTTCTCCCGTGGCGTAAGCGGGGTGTGAGCCACGATGCGCCGATGCTTCGCTGTCACCTAATGGGGCGCATGTCCCACGACATGGAGAAGCGGCCCATGCCTTTTGGTATTAAGTGCTCCCAAGGACGCTGTGCACCGCGTTTCAACGGAGAAGACGGGCACGAGCAGCTTCAAGCCCAGCGCTGCCACTGCTCTTCGTAAGCAACATCAGCTGCTGGTACCAACAGTTACGCAAAATAGTGAAAAGCAATTTAAGTTTGGAATATAAATATGACTTTGAGACTTATCATAAGATCGCTTAACTGGAAAATCTTTTTTTTCCCCCCCTAAAATACGCCATTACTTTTTAAAAAAAGAAAAAAAAAAGAAAAAAAAAAAGCTTTCCATCAGCATAGTTAACACCTGTGTTGCACATTTCGTTCACAAAACTTATTTTTTTTTAAAGCAATAGTTTTACTTTTCTTCTTTTTAAGCAAACCTATTTCTTAATGACAACAAAGTCAAAAACGAAGAAAATAAATTACAGCAATAAAGAAAAAAGAAGTAAAGTATCCAAAGCTGCAGAACTGAACTTGTAAAATCAGCACATACATAGAATGCTGCAAGCCTTGAGTAACTGGAAAGGAAGTTAGAGGAAATGCATCCTCAGAACTCCGTTCTGGGGATACTCATATCAAAAAACTACCACTTTCTGGAAAAAACACAATATTTTATAAAATGAAATATTGTCACTCCTTTGAGAAGCTTTTGCTAGTCTGACCCAAATTTTTTGCTGTCAAAACTAGAACGTGGAACAACCACAAACCTTCAGTCTAAAGGTGGACACTGTTCCTTTTCTAACAACTTTACAGTCTGCCCAAAACTTCAGTTAATCTATTTAATATGCAATGATTTCCAAGCTTATTAGATGAAATTAGTTATCCAAATAAACTCCTATCCTAAATGTATATTTATGACCAGAAAGAGTGCAATTAAAGAAAATACACACCCACCTCTACGTATCATCCTGAAAGACTAGAAAGAATGACATTTAACTCCTGGAATACTTAACAGATCAAGGCAAATCTCATCTCCAAAGTTCACAGCTTTAAGGCACAATACAGTCCTATCAAAACCAAGCAATTTTTATGGAGAAAAAAAAAAGGCAGTAAAAAAGTAATTTTATACAACGATTTCAGGTAAGATCTTCCTCCTCAAAACCTTGTGGAGAGAGGAGAGAAAGAAAAAAAACAGTGGCTACAGCCAGATGACAATTAGTGTTTTTTGACTTTGAATGTTCTTCTCCATTAGTATTTTAAAGATGCCCAAAATTTTTAAATAGGTGGTTGGAGCAGAACCTGCTTAAGGACTGGAATAGCATGAGAACAAAATACAGCTATAATACAGCTACAGAGGCTTCAAGATTGTAGCTTCTGGCAAACAGGCACAAACAAGACAGTGGGAAAAACACCCCCACACCTGCCTGCACATCCATCTTGCATTTCAACTCTCCCCCTGTTCCCCAAAAGTGCCTTTTTATTAGGGGTTCTAGCAGCACTTTTAAATCCAGATACTCAGTACTATCCAGCATAATCTTGCAAATGAGAATAAAAACATGATCACCTGCTGTAGCACATAAAGCTATGCATTTAGTAACAGCTTTCCCTTCATAAATAGGAAAACAGTAATGATAAATTCTACTTCACACACGGAACCGCCTCTGTCCCCTTTCCACAACAGAGCTCTAGGGAACATCCTTGATCTAAGCGTGACTCCAGCTCCTCCACATGGCCCACGTTGACAAGAACTTCAGGACCCCAGCTCAATGTTCCTCCATTGGCTAATGAGAATTGCATTGACTAGCATGAATAAAAGCCTCAAAATGCCTGAACAAGTCTGCTCCAATTGCAGGCCCAAGTGGAAGACTAGGAACAATCCCATTATCAAAGAAAAAAATGTTTTTTTTTTAAATGTCTTTACTATATACAAGAACAAATGCAGGATGTGATGTTTGCTTAGTTTATTAATTTATTTTTGCAGGAATCTGCAACTCTGAGTATGCACTTTCTGGAGGTACCATGCATGCATAGCCTCTGAATGCCTTTGTACAATTTCATCTCTTAGTAATAAGTTCATTCACAGCATACACAAATCTAGAATGTAGACACCATATATACAGGACTAAACAAGATCGTGTCTTGTTGTTTTAATGAAAAAAAAATAAACAGGGTTTCACACGGCAGGAAAGATGGATTAGATACACAGGTGCCCACCATAAATAAATAAATTTCAAGAACACAGTTTTAAAAAACCTGTTTCCAAGGTACTGAAAATCCAAGATTATAATATTGCATTAACTCCACTGATTTTTGATTATTCAAAAACGAGAAAAAATATTGGCATTAATATTTATGGACATAAACAGCAACAAAAAGCCCCAACTGAAGAAACGTGGCAAATTCAGTCATGGCCAACTTCAAATGACGTTGACATTTTGTAACAAAACATCTGCAGCAGCACGTGGAGACAGTATTGGCTAGGAGACATGTTATTTGTGCATGTCCTCCTTCTTAACAGGACAGAGAGTCACTGCAGTTTGGAGCCCGTGAGTTCTGTGATACCAAAGAGGCTGATGAGCCGATGAATTGTCTATGTCCAACTGTCCACTTCTTATCAGAAAAGTCATTTTCACATTCTAGGGTGCACCACTTAATTTGAAACAAAGTATCATTCTGATGACAAGCTTTTTTTCTTTTTTTTTTCTTTTTTAAACATACTTAATATTTTCACATTCTTTTTTTTTTTAAAAAAACATTCTTTATTGTTTTCATTTTGGTTTGTCCTCATTTCAACTCTTGAAGTTTATTTCGGTTTCAAGGGGGGAGGAGGGGTTACAATCAATATTAAATGTAAAAGCATTGTAGAAATTGAAATGAGAGATGCATCACTGGGAAAGATAAATAATTGAAAGACTTGTTTTTAAAACTGTGATTTAGTAGCATAACATTATCAGAAATTACTGAGACCAGCTCTTTTCAGAATTATTACACCTTTTCACCACACCTCCCATTTTTCAAGGGATTACACACACATACCACAGACACACAGATACACAGTTCAATCTGATCTAAGACTACGTTTTACAAAGTACTTCCTTTTGCTTGACTACCCATCCTTTTCCTCCTCAACCAAACAAGACTAATAATTACATCAAATTAAAAGCAGATCCAAAGTTCAAGATTTCTTTTGGTTTACTATACTCTGAATCATTTTCCATGAGCCCCACCCTAAGTAAGCTTTTAAAGAACTACAGTAGTATTCTAGAATTAAAGCAAACTCATTTCAATAGCACAGTTAATATAAAATAAGCTTTATAAAATTAATTCCAATTAACGGTGAAATAATTTTGAATATCTGAATGTCCAGGTCAATTATGAACTCTACCAACCTAGTTGTAAGGTTGAGGAAAAGCTCAGTCATTAAAGAAAAAAGGAGACCACAAGTAGTGCATTAATGCAGTGGCATCAGCATCCCACCATTCACACTCACACGCACACATTTATATAATACAGTGCATTTAATATGCCAGCTGACATTAGGGTTTCATATGCGGTCATTTAATATTACACAAACCAACCTTTTTAACGTCATTTAAAATTCAGGGTGTGAAGGGTGTCACCTGCTTCCAAAGGGAAAATGGATCATCCAAGATTCAAAATACAACTTGCTTTTAACAAGCTTAAGGATATTCAAGCACCACATAAAGTTTTTACTATTAATGTTTGTATATGGGCATTTACAAATAAAGGAATACAACAGAAGGGTGTTTTCTTTTTTTTGCACAAGCAATAAAAGAGAGAAATTGAAAAGTTTTTTTTTTTTTTTTTTTTTAAAGTTACAGGTAGGATAGAAACCGCTTGCAATCTAACAGCACTCACTTAGTCTTCCAAGGGTATCTTGCTCTCAGGCAGCCTTTTTTGTCTTCCTCCAACTGGTGAAAGCTACGATTAAGAGGAACAGGTCTTCCCAAGACCCGAAACCACGCATATGTGATTATTACAGCTCACAGAATTGCAGGACTACATGCATTTTTTTTTTCCAAAGCAGCATCTACTCTGTCTGAAAACTACACAACTGTATTGACATGACTCACCTACTCTCATTTGCCTTTCTAGTGGCTATCATTTTGTAATTCCAGTAAAAACTAAAGCTGCTAAAAATAGAACAGAAGTACAAATGAATAGAAAACTGAAATAATACAAAGGCATCACCATGGAAAATTCATGAAGTTCCTGGTATTGTATCAAGTATTCATGATACAGCAAGTATTCATGATAACAGCAATGGTATTGTTTATCCTAGATGTAATGCTTCTGCTCATTTGTCTTCTAGTTATTTTGGTTTTGTCCGACTGTCCACTTACATGAGCAAAATTAATTGTTTCCTAACTTCATTTGCACAGGTTTCCCTCTGCCCCCTTGCACATGATACTCCACATATAGTACTACAAATCAATAGGAAGAAGGAAAACTAGCTCTGATGTCTTTTGACTTTGTTTTGCTCATCAGTGGTGCTCACAGACTCCTGGAGATTAATTGGCTTATTTCAAATTATAGTGAAATTTTACTTCGTGCAAGAACATATTGAAAAAATGCCAGATACAATATCAGTTCCTCATTTAAGATTTTTTTTTTAATTGTCACTTTTATAAACCACAGGAACAGGAGATACCAGATTGGTAATGCAATTACGATACATTTTCCTCCACCCACCCGTTTCAAAGGCTGCTTGATTTTAAATAAGGATTCAGACAGAGGATTGTTCTACCACAGCTTCATACATTATCACACATCAAGTGAATTGCGGCACTCGGCCACGTGGGCACGGCTGCCACGAGCCGAGAGCCAGGCGAGCTGCCGGAGCCCCGCCTGGAGAGCACAACCAGTCAGCTGCCCAAACCCAAGTTTGATTTCACAGATAATGAGGGCTTTATTACAGCAACCTGAAGCATTCAAAAAAAAATGAGGATCACCTTTATAATACAGTATATCATATGTGGAAAAGTACCAGTATGATTTTCAGTTGCGAGTTTTTGTGTTCTTCAATCTACAGTAAATATTTCCTGACCAAAATAAAAAGAATGCAGTGTGTAAGTTTTCAAGAACTGCCATCTGCTATTTTATACAGGCTGGTTTATTAACAGTGTGCAAATAAACCTTTACTGAAGAGCTATTTGATTAATTATTTTTCAGCTAACTTCGGACTGGGGCACAAAGTACCTTCTGTGCTGTAAACATCATGAATTCTTCACCAACTGGAAGGTGAAAAGGCCTAAGGAGCAGAGTACAAACACTCCTCATACATAACCATGGCTGAGCTCAAGTCTTTCAAACTGAATTTGGAGTAGTCTGCATTTGGCATGTGTTCAGTGTACTGCTAGAGAGTACAGTTTGAGAAGACTGTTGTCTATAAAAGCATACTTTTAGCATTAAAACGCCACGGCCTAATGAAAGCATGCAGCAGTATTTCATCTGTAATGCAGTAGAATTCATTCTTAGTTTATTACCAGTGTTGATACAGCCAGGTGAGCACTGTACAAGCAAAAGGGATTGTAAAAATTGCCTCTGGTTACACTCTCTAACACTCATACAGTATCTCATTTAGTCACCTTAGGTCACTATTTCAAACAGCAATTTTTTGTAGACATAAGTTACCCTGAAAAAAAGCAGCAATTACAAATACCCTTCTCCTTGTTTTCTATACATTGCAAAATTTATGGCTGCATTTACCTGTCTTCTTTTTCAGTAGCTTACAATCTAGAAGCACAGGGAGCCTTTGTTTTCCAGCTAGCTGGGGCCAGGAAAGTCAGTTCTGGCTCTTCAGTTTTTTTTTTTCTGGATAATTATAATATTTCACACCATTACCAAGAGTTCTTTTATTCATTTATTTATTTTTGTTTTTATTTTTTACTTTTTTAGAGCCACTAAGTGGTATCTATACCCACAGCACTAGATACCAGTAGTTATCTGCCTTCCTGTATACATTCTTTCAGAAACAAAACCTTTTACATTTTCAGGCATCCTTTTCTGCTTTGCTCACTGCAATAGGATAAGAAAATATTTAATCCTTAATTTATTTGTTTGGAGTGTGGCACAAGCAGAAACATCTTAACACATTTCCCCCCACCCCTTGCTATATGAAGATTGTAGACGGGCAAGGGGTGGGCAGATGAACTGAAAGGTTCCCCATATTTCCTTCTTTTACGCCTGTTGGCTGGAAAGCCTCTGTTCGACCCAGTACAGCCCCTTCCCTGCTCTCAGGTGTACCGTGGCATCTCACACTGCTCACAGCGATTTAGGGCCGGGTGGTTCAGAAAGGTGCAGCTATCACAATTCCACGGAGCCCCTTCAAAGTCTTCATCTCTTGGCTGAGTCCGTGGAGTCTGTTTGGAGCTGTTTTGGTGCTCTAAAAGAAAACAAAAACCAAATGTCTCTTATTTTACCAAAAAGGATTATATGTACATTATCATCTGGACTATCAGCTCATTAAATATTCTATGATAAAATGAATCTGGAAACCTTTCTACATAGGCAGCATTAAATACTCAAACTTTACAACCTAACTCAGAAGTTCTTGAGGAGAAAGCTTTGAAGTATTTCCTTCTGTAGGAGTTACTTAATCATGCTAGCACAAACACATTGAAATTAACAGCAATCATTACTATTAGGTCACTAATACTGCTAAAGGTTTAATGAGCTTAAAATATAATGGAAAGTTTATTGCCAGCACTCCAGCACTAACCTGTTAAGGAATGACTATTTATAGGCTTAGGAACCGAAGTCTCTTGTAAAACCTTACACTTCAATAATCCTGCTACCTGAAATGAAATTAGCTCCTTCAAACAGTTTGACAGACATCAGTCCTCCACAACTTTTTGTAACATGTATCCAGGTGGAAGAGAATACAATAAAATGGTTGGCTTTTTTCAAGACAAGATGATTGTTTTCACCTTCTTGGGGCTTTGGCTGAGGGAGAGATCAGTATTCTAAGTTTGTTTTCATTCATAAAACCAGTATGTATTGAATCATACATTAGCCATTAACCCACGGAAAGACTTGGTTTTCTAATGCCTGCTACCATGACTTCAAGATCTCAGTCTACCTACTAAAAGCAGAAATGTGCCTAAGATGTGGAAACATTTAAGGCATCTTACGAAGTTTTATGATTCCAAACAATATTAGCAAACACATCAAAAAAATCCATCTGCTAAATAAACATCTGTAAGATACAGTTTATTTGGAGAATTTGTACTGAAAAAAAATTGTAATATGTGCACTTTGAATTGCAAATTAAGTGACATATCCTTAGAAATCTAGCAGACAGCTGATAACAAAGTAAGCTCAACTAATAGTGAGGTTTATCTTTTAAGACATGCAAAAAAGGAACCTCCTTGCTTAGATGTAAACCGTCTAGAAGCTACATGGTCACATTAGTGTAGTTCTTTGCCAAGACTAAACAGATTCCTCTTAAGCGAGCCAATAGTGGAGGCACAATCTCTTGCGCCTCAGCTGTTCTGGGTCTTCAGTTTTTTTTTTTCTTAGGTATTTCCACATATTTGCTACTTCAGAAAATCAGACTGAAATACTGGCTTCAGAAGAGAGGGAAAAATATTTTCTTACGTGCAATCAAAATTCAGCTTCTAAAGTCATCAAGCAATTACCATTAACCAGACTTTATTTAAAATATTTGATTTTTTAAGCAGAGTACATGACTACTGCCTGAAAGTATTTTTCCATAACAGCTTTCGTTCATGTCAGTCACAGTAATTAACGACACTGTAAGTCTTATCATGCAAGAGTTTGCAAAGAAAAGACCGCTGCCTTCTCTAGTGGCTGTTTCAGTAGAAAGACACAAACTGTTTAAACTAGTATTTGAAAGAAGTTCTTTCAAAAGACCTTACAAACCGAAAGGAAAAAAAAAGAACTGCATCCAAAATACCCAAGACTAAAGGTAGGACTGCTCCAAAAAGCCTCTTAATGCAGCAGAGTCCAGAAAGCTGTTGAGCAGCGCAGCCACTAGGTGTCTATGCCAGTGAACTGCAGACTGTGCTCACTAAATACGCACTCACACCAAGTGAGACTCCTGAGCACACATAGAGCTCAAGTGTCTTGGGACAGATACAAAACTTAAGAGACTTTGTAAGTCGCATAGAAAAATAAAAGAAAGACACACGGGAAGCTTGTAAAGGTGCCATAATGATACCATTTTAGACAGATCTTACACAGTTTCTGAAGGGACCTACACATGATGACAAGTGAAAAAACACATATTCTGCCTTAAGGTGTCTCAGATTCTTGACATACTAAAAAAAAAAAAAAAAAAAAAAAAAAAAAAAAAAAAGAGGGGTACTGTCAAATTTACACTGCACATACAATATGTTTAAAACATGACTGTGCAAATTAAGACATAACTAAAGCTCCTGTTACAAATTCAACTTGCAATAAGGATTCCAAATTTTATATTACAGAATGACAATAATATTAGAAGGAGGCTGAAAAACTCATTAATGTAAGACTTGAGCTTTCTAATTAATTTTTTTGAAAGACTTAAGATGCAAGTTTGTGAACTTTCAACTCTTTTCTGACAGCAAATAATATTTACAAAGCACATATTAATAAAACATTAATCTCAAACACCCTGATAGAAAACAAGTTGCGGGCAGTATTACTGTTCTAGATCAAAATGATCTTTTTATACAGATATAAAAATAAAAACTGTTTCCTGCTGCAGAGTCATTTACTTAAATTTTCTAACTGCAGATTAGGTAATCTGATGCTTGCTTGCCAACCTACCTTTTTTACATGGCTTTGGTGGCACAACAGGACCGGGCTCTATATTATCATAGAAGTTGCACGTAGCTTTTGGATCAAAGTTACCTGTCAGAAAAGAAAGGTAAATATAAATTATCTTTGAATTATGCATTTTTAGGTTTATCATAGTACGTCAAATATCTTGAGGTTTTGGAGTTTATATAATATTTATTAAGACATTCTATTTCAGCTTTTTCCTGAGCATCTTCCTGTTGCATATGTTCAGTTTGGGGTTGATCTGAGTAATTTTCTGCAAATCGGTCCCATATTTAAATAATCAAATCCATTGCAATGCTTTGGATTGCTTTAGAGATGTGAACACACAAATCTCACTGTAGAACACATTCTTGGCATTAAAAAAAAAAGTACATTTTTAATCTATATTGATTATGTGCGTCATTTTTTGTCAAAACCAAAAAACCAAACAAACAAACAAAAGAAATACAACTTGGGTATCTTTGGTAGATTTTTGCCTGCCAGCATCTTGGTCATAACCTGTACTTCTGGGCTGTATTGATTTGTCAGAATCTTTTGTCAGTGACTGATTAAACAATTCTAGTTAAAACTTTTACTAAGAACTATTTTTTTTTTAAGATGAAAAAGTCTTGACAAAGTTTTTAAAATCACCATTTACAAATATTTTAACTTCACCAATAAAAAGGTCAGCAAGTCAAGTTTATGCAATTCTAACCAAAAGAGATATCTTTTAGTAATAATTTAGTATCAATAAAATCCGATTTTTTTAAAAAAGTCCAAGAACAGTATCCACATTTAAGCATGTTCTATGCCTAAACCATGTTTTAAAAAAACATGGAAGTCTGTACCTCTAGATTGAAGGAGGTCAACTTCTTTCAGTGTACAGTCAACATTTATCTGGAGCTGTCGGTTGAGGCTTCGCAATCTGGTCATTTCCTCTGGCTAGGAAGAAATAACCCAAAATAGCAAGTGAAGGAAAGTCAGCATCATATATAATATAGATACAGCAATGTTATGTCTGTTAATAGCTTTATTAGACCGAACTACCAAATAAAATAGCCAAGATTACACTGTGTTCCCCTCTCCTGTCCCACTTTCTTCCCTTCAAAAAGGGAGCCTTCCACTTGGCATTTGAGAAAGTGAGGTGCAAAAATATAAAATAAAAAGCCTTACC